AGGCCCTGGGTTCGATTCCTCAGCACCACATAAGCAAAAAGAAAAAAGCCGGAAGTGGCACTGTGGCTCAAGTGATAGAGCGCTAGCCTTGAGCTGAAGAGCTGAGGGACAGCGCCCAGGCCCAGAGTTCAGGCCCCACGACCGGACCAAAAAAAAAAAAGAATTCTTGGAAATAGTGATGATGGTTGTATAACATTGTACAACCAATACCCTGAATTGCACACTTAAAATGGTTAAAAATGGCAACTTACATGTTATAGATATTTTACTAGGATAAAATTTTAAGTAAAAAATTGAATTAAGCTGGGAGCCGGTGGCTCATGAGTGAAATCCTAGCTACTCAGGAGGTTGAGATCTAAGGATTGCAGTTCAAAGCCAGCCCAGGCAGAAAAGTCTGTGAGACTTATTCCTAATAAACTACTCAGAAGACACCAGAAGTATCACTGTGGCTCAAAGTGGTAGAGCAGTAGTCTTGAGAGAAAAAGCTCAGGGATAGTGACTAAGCCCTGATTTTAAGCCCCTCAACTGACAAAAAAAGCAAGCAAGCAAGCAAGCAAGAAAGAAAGAAAGAAGGAAGGAAGGAAGAAAGAGAAAGAAAGAAAAAGAAAAGAAAGAAAGAAAGAGAAAGAAAGAAAAAAAGAAAGAAAAAAAGAAAGAAAGAGAAAAATTGAACTTAGATTTTTTTTTGTGCCAGTCTTGTGGCTTGAACTCAGGGCCTGGCCACAGTCTTGGAGCTTTTTTTGCTCAAGGCTAGTGCTCTCTCATTTGAGCCATAGCTACATTTATGGCTTTTTTTGGGTGGTTAATTGGAAATAAGAGTCTCACAGACTTTCCTGCCTAGGCTGGCCTTCTCATTTAGTCATGTACAAACATATATATGGCCATTTTTTCTTTAATTTTCTCTGTCTATGTTTTGTGTGTGTGTATGTGTGTGTGTGTGTGTGTGTGTGTGTGTGTGTGTGTGTGTATGCACGCATGCTGGTCCTAGGGCTTGAACTCAGGGCCTGGACACCGTCTCTGACCTCTTTTGCTCAAGGCTAGTGCTGTATCACTTGAATCACAGCTCCACTTCTGGCTTTTCAATGGTTAATTCCTGCCCAGAATGGTTTCAAACTGTGATCCTTGGTTCTCAGCCTCCTGAGTACTAGGATTGCAGGCATGAGCCACCAGGACCTGACTCTAATGTTTTTTAAGTACAGAAACTATTTTTTATGGTATGGTACTAGGGTTTGAATTCAGGGTTTTATGCTTGCAAGGCAAGTACTCTACCACCTGATCCATGCCTCTAGCTTTTCTTGCTTTAGTTTATTTTTAGGTAGGCTCTTGCTTTTTCCAGGGTAATTCTCAGACCTTGATCCTCTTACCTGCATAGCTGATATTACAGGTAATACTATACTCTGTTTGTTTAGATAGGATCACATTAACTTTTTGCCTGGGCTAGCCATGAACCGCTATTCTCCCAGTCTCTGCATCAGGAGAAGCTGGACTACAAGATTACTTTAATATATTTTCTAATGTTGATAATGTCAAGTGTTTTCTTCCATTATTATTATTATTATTATTTTTGTAGGTCGTGAGGTCTGAACTCAGCCTGGCCGCTGTCCTTCAGCTCTTCAGCTCAAGGCTAGCACTCTAGCACTTGAGACAGTGCCACTTCCAGTTTTCTGGTGGTTCATTGGAGATAAGAGTCTCACTGACTTTCCTGATCAGGCTGGCTTTGAACCATGATCCTCAGATCTCAGCCTCCTGAGTAGCTAGGGTTACAGGCATGAGTCACTGACACCTGGTTGATATATATTTTTAATATGCTGAGGTCAATAAAGACCACACTACTCATTTTACAACATTTCTTTGACTGTTTTCACTTATTTCTTCTTCCTAAACTTAGTAGGCCCAACTTGCTAAGGATTTTTTTTTTGGGGTCTGGTCGTGGGGCCTGAACTCTGGGCCTGGGCGCTGTCCCTCAGATCTTCAGCTCAAGGCTAGCACTCTACCACTTGAGCCACAGCGCCACTTCCGGCTTTTTTCTTATGTGGTGCTGAGGAATAGAACCCAGGTCCTCGAGCATGCAAGGCAAGCGCTCTACCACTGAGCCACCTTCCCAGCCCCTTGCTAAGGATTTTTTAAAGTGGTACTGGGATTTGAACTCAAGGCCTTTTGCAAGAAATGTGCTTTCAGCACTGTGAAGGTTTTTATTTGTAAAAGCAATGCCTTTGCAGAGTAAGGCAGATGAATTCCTCAGAGCCTTAGTTTTTCCATCTGTAAAATGGGAAGAGTATATCCTTTTCCTTTCATGTAACTCATTGTTTTTGAGAATCTAATGAAATAGTTATGAAGATATTTTGGAAAAGAATAATGATTGTGTTTTATATATCTGAAGTAGATGCTTACCCTGGGGTCTTTGAATGAGATATTATGTGGATGATGGGATTGCTTTTGCTAAGGAGGCTTTGTCATTGAACTCTCTTTTTCTCACAGAGCGCTTCGACCATCACTGCCCCTGGGTAGGAAATTGTGTTGGAAAGAGGAACTACCGCTATTTCTACCTCTTCATTCTTTCTCTTTCCCTCCTCACAATTTATGTCTTCGCTTTCAACATCGTCTATGTGGCCCTCAGTGAGTATGCAAGGCTGTTGTCTCTGTGGCCAGAGTGGGGTGAGGTGGGATAAGACTTCAGGGCTGAGTATGGGGGCGGTTGGGTTTCTGGTGGGAACTTGCCATTTAGGAAGGCACCTCAGGACCACTTAGCAATGAATACTATGGGCCACTTTGAAGCTGGCCTATAAACCTCAGTTCATATCAATAGATATTTGCTGTATGTGTTGGCCTTAACTCTAATCCTCTGCTGAAGACTGGAGCCCTGATTACTGGTCTATATCCAGAGAACTGTGCATTTCTGATGCCAAGGTCTGGGAATGTAGTTTTCTTCTGCATAGCCTTACCTCTTCTGCCTTTAAGACCTACTTTGCACTGGGGAGGAGGGGAAGGTTTTTATCTATCTTTCTTTTTTTTTGTTGGTCTTGGGGCTTGAACTCTGGGCCTAGGCACTGTCCCTGAGCTGTTCAGCTCAAGGCGAGCACTTTACCACTTGAGCCACAGAGCCACTTCTGGTTTTCTGGTGGTTAATTGGAGATAAGAGTCTCACAGACTTTCCTTCCTGGGCTGGCTTTGAACCATGATCCTCAATGAGTAGCTAGGATTACAGGCATGAGCCACTGGAGCCTGGCTGCTTTCTTTTTTAAACCAAAGAAATGCATTTTAGTAGCTCAGAGTTTACTTTGAGAAGTTGGTAATACATGCCCACATGTATACATGTACACAGACTAGACACACTTACGACCAAGCTAGGGGCAGATGCAGCGTGGAGTAAAGGGAATTCTCTTGATGAAGACAGGTTCCTGGAAAGGAGCTTTGAGTTGAATTTGCAGGAGACAGGTAGAGAGGGTGTTTTGGGACGATTTCTGGTTTCCTTCATCAGTTACTATCCCTCTACATACCTATATTTGGGGACTGGAAAAGGGGAAGTTAGTACAAAGTTTGGCTTCTGCCCAACTGTAATCTTGTGTGTGGTCATGCATTGGAAACACAAACTCCTCAGTCATGAGGCTGCCTGCACGGAGGCAAGACTCTTCACTCTTGACCCAGTGAGAGCTCCTGTCTTGCCTGTATATAGCATGAGGTAGAGAGGAAAAGAAGTGAATAGACAGTAGAGTGCTTTATAGTTTTGACTGAATTCACTAATTTTTCTATCTGTTCCTCCTTCTAATTTCACAGAATCCTTGAAAATTGGCTTCTTGGAGACGCTGAAAGAAACTCCTGGAACATATCCTTTCCTGGCACTATGTCATTGTAAAGCCTTCTTAAACTACTTTGAAGCATGTTTTCTCCCTCCAATTCTCCCACCTTCTAGGTTTCTAGACATCAGAGTGTGCCAAAGCCTAAAATTATGAAATATAGTCTAATGATAGCAACCAGACTAGAAGATGGCCAAGACTTAAAAGGAAGGCCTTTCCCTTGCCCCTTTCTCATCTGCCTACCCCCAGATTCTCCCAAGCTCAGACCTGTGTCTCTCTAGCAGGTTGTACTTTGCCTCAGTACACCTTGTATGTATGTCATTTACTGGAAGCTCCACTAGGATTTGTTTTGTACAGTGACTTCATTTCTGAAAAGGATATTTAGAATATATCTCATTTTTTTTTTTTGTCGGTCATGAGGCTTGAACTGTGGGCCTGGGCGCTGTCCCTCAGCTCTTCAGCTCAAGGCTAGCACTCTACCACTTGAGCCACAGTGCCACTTCCGGTTTTCTGGTGGTTTATTAGAGATAGGAGTCTCACAGTCTTTCCTGCCCGGGCTGCCTTTGAACCGCGATCCTCAGATCTCAGCCTCCTAAGTAGCTAGGATTACAGGCGTGAGCCACTGGCGCCCAGCTCATATCTCATTTCTTTCCTGCTAATTTTTCATTAATTAATTAATTTTGCTGGACCAGGGGCTTGAAAGTCAGCATCTGGGTTCTGTCCCTGTGCTTTGTGTGTGTATGCTGGTAGTGGGGCTTGAACTCAGGGCTTGGGTGCTGTCTCTGAGCTCTTTTACCCAAGGTTAGTTCTCTAAAACTCTTGAGACATAATTCTACTTTCGGCATTTTTGTGGTTAATTGGAGATAAGAGTCTCATAGACTTTTCCTGCCTGGACTGGCTTCAAATCATAATCCTTAGATCATAGACTCCTGAGTGGCTAAGACTACAGGTATAAGCCACTGATACCCAGCCAAAATTTTATTTTTTGATGAAATTTCCATTGCCCCTTCCTAAGTATCCTCTTTAAAGAGCCAATGGTGAACAAACAGGCAAATACTTGAATATACTAGAGATGCTAGAAATTTATAGTGAATAAACAAAGTCTTTACCTTTCATAAAGGATCTGTTTAGTGAGTTTAGACTTCATCTATTGTTTTATATGAATATTTGACTTTTGTGATGTTGTTATAAGAGGTAAGGATGGTATAACTTGATGGATTGATACATCAAGTTCCCTAGTGTGACTTCTTCAAAATTCCTTAACCTAGCCTCACTGTTCTAGAAGTTCTCATTTGCTTCTTCACACTCTGGTCTGTTGTGGGACTGACTGGATTTCACACTTTCCTCGTGGCTCTCAACCAGACAACTAATGAAGATGTGAGTCAATTTTCTGTTTTGTACCATATATTCTTTTCCCAAAAGCATATGCTCTTGTTACCTGCTAGAGAACAAAGTCTCTAGGGTCTGGAAGTTTGAGGATTGATATTAGAGGTTGTTAAATCAGATCTATGGAAATGAGGGTGGACTGCTTTGTTTGGAGCTGAATGCTTGTTGGAGTATTAGGAAGAATTTGAAAAGTTAGATGGTCATTAACTGTTCATAGAGCCTTAAAGGTTAGCTGAAGGCCTGATGTGGTGACACATGGCTATAATCACAGCTACTGGGAAGCTGAGGCAGAAGGATCATAAATTTGGGTTCAAGGCCAGTCTGTGCTACATAGTGTGATGCTGTTCCAGTCTCTCCTCCAACAAGTGGCTAGTTGATGCTTTTGGGTTAGAATGGGGAAGGATAGTTTCACTGAATAAATCTTTACTTTCTAAAATTTACCAATTCATTCACATTTACTGTAGAAAATTAAGAAAATACACTGGAACATAAAAAAGAAAATAAATCCCTATAACTTTACCTTGTAGGTATCATCTTATTTAATGTATGATTTTTAGGCTTCTGGACTTGGTTTAGATTTGGTGTGTGTGTGTGTGTGTGTGTGTGTGTGTGTGTGTGTGTGTGTGTATTTGATGGTAATAGGGATTGAATTTAGTGTGTGTGTGTGTGTGTGTGTGTGTGTGTGTGTGTGTGTGTATTTGATGGTAATAGGGATTGAATTTAGGTAGGTCCCTGGCTTGCTAGGTGAGCACTCTACCACTTGAGTCATGCCTCTAGCCCCTTTTTACCTTGGTTATACTTTAGATTTTTTTTTCTTGCTTTATATCCTTTGGCCAGCCTGGAATGTAATCCTTTACTTGCACATCTCTGTTTCAGTAGGGATGAGAGCTATATGCCACAATGCCCAGCAATTGTGCTTCCCCAGTAGCTTGTATGGCAGGCTTACACCATTATACTCAACCATTGATTAAGATGGAGTCTTGTAAACTTTTATGCCCATGCTGGCCTCACACCATGTTATACCAATCCCTGCTTCCAAGAAGCTAAGATTAGAGGTTTGAGTGGCCATACACAGCTTATACTATATATTTTTAATGAAAATAGTGCATATTCATGTATCTGAGTTTTTCTTTGTCTTAGAAATGTATTTTCACATCTATATATGTATTTATTTTTTGTTTCTATGTGTTATACATGTGGAATTTCATTGTGACATCTTCTTTTTTTTATTTTATTTGTGAACATACTGTACAGAGGGGTTACAATTACATGGGCAGGATAATGCGTACATTTCTTACCAAGCATTGCAGCC